TCCTTCCTCAACACAGGAAGTTTCTAAGGTTCACTTTTGGGGGAAAAGCGTATCATTACGAGTTATTCCATTCGGCCTACCACTGTCACCTCGCACCTTCACAAAATGCATGGATGCTGCTCTTGCTCCATTGAGAAGGCATTCACATGCTCAAATACATCGACGATTGGCTCATTCTGGCACAGTCAGAGGAGATGGTGGTTCAACATTGAGATCATCGTTCTGAATCATCTAAGGTGCTTGACATTGAGACTCAATTTTTAGATTTGTCCTTTGTTGTGCATCTTTGGATTATGGATTATGTTGTGTTGTAATAAATCCAAACAATCTAAAAGCCATTCTTTTTTTAAATCTCATTCTTTGTGCAATGCTCCTCATAATGATATAGGGCCCGGTAGCACCTTATAGGGCCATTAGGGGAGGGTCTTTGTCTTTCTCAGGTGTCAAAATCGGTAATATTAATGGATGGTTAACATCTTCCCCAAAACACGTCATACAAACTTTAAAAGACTTTATTGTATTATCTGAATGAGTAATCAGGAAGATGTTCACATAGGTTGGAGCAAGTACTCTAGGCTATGTGATACAATTTTCAAAAGTCTTGTGAAGAAATAATCAGTATGGGTTTTATTATCTTATTTCAGTGACATTTTTCATAAATCAAAAAAAGCACAAATGTCAGAGCATCTCAGAACACCTCCAGGACCCAGAAAACACCTCAGACCCCAGAGGGTTAACTGCCCAGTGGCTTCAGTGCTGGAGTTCCTCCAGAGTCGCTTCTCTGACAGGCTCTCTCCATCCACACTTGGTCTATGTGGCGGCTATAGCTGCCTTCAACATGCCTTTAAGGCTAGGTACTTTGGGGAGACACCCAATTATAGTACATTTCCTTCATGGAGCTAGGAGGATGGGGTTTCACCCAGTCCAGGGTCCCCACGTGGGACCTGTCAGTAGTTCTTGAGGGGTTATCCCTGGTACCCTTCGAATTCTTGAATGAGGTGTATGAGAAATTTATATTCTTTAAAAGGTAGCCTTTCCTACTCGCTATTAAATCCCTAAAAAGAGTCGGGGACCACATTTATTTATATGTGCCTAAGGTGCTGACAAATGTGGCACAGTCTAAAATTCTTCAGGCATTCCATCCTCCACCGCATGTGTCGGATGACCAAGCTAAGCTTCATTTATTATGCCTGGTCTGAGCCGTGGAAGCCTATGTTCAAAGAACCTCTGGCTGGAGGAAGTGGGACCAGCTACTCATGTGTATCTATCCCTCAGAGGCCTGCGCAATGTGTCAGGACCTCTTCGCCAAAGCCTTCCTCGTCTGAATGACAGAATTCAGATCTGCCTTCGTTTTGGAGGACTTCTAAGGGTGGTGCCTCTAGCTCCAGGTCTTTTGTGGGGGAGCACAAGAGAAAATAAGAGAGGCCAGAAGACAAAATCAGGGCATCGAGGAGGAAGGCCCTGTCCTTGTCCCCAATGCCCAACAGATTCAGCCACAAATGTCTCTCCATAGCTAAGGTTATTATTACGGTTAACCGTAGATACGGTTATTATTATCGCTGTTGTTGTTTTTTTTTTTTGTAAGAACAGGGTTAAAATCATTTGTCACTGTGTTTGTTTAAATATGTGATTTACTCTGAGTATATGCTCAATGCTTTCATTTTATATTTATGTAAAACGTTTTCTATGTAGTTCTGCTTTAGCAGGGGCGTCGCAACCGTGGGGGATGTGGGTGTTCCCCACACTTTTCTCGGTGAGAGTGTTCAACACCCGCACTTTTTCTGCCGTTTTTCCGCAGTTTTACACAAACGCCTTCCTACAGTCGCTCCTCCGTTTCTCTGGCGCTCAGTGTGTGTGTGTGTGCGCTCGCTGCGGCTGTCTCCTCTCAAACATGACACCGGCTTTGAGTGTGTCCGGCTGATGATTGGCTGTTCTGCCTTAAGTCCCGCCTCTCTTGATGTGTTAGATGTATCGGTCAGCTCGTGCTGAGGAGGCGGGAACTTATGGTTGTTTAGATCTCCCTTTTCCAGGTACTTTGAATGAGTGTTTATGCTTTCGAGGTTTTTAAATAAGCTTGTAATGTGTTTGGGAAGATGTTATGTTTGTTTTATTGACATGTCCAGTGTTTTCATTATTATATTTCGTATTTTTGGATAAACAGTACAAGACTTGCGTTAGGCATTCTGTTTGTAATGCTGCGTGATTTGAAAAAAAAAAAAAAAAAAAAAAAAAACACGCTCTTTGCTTAGTGCTCACACGATCAGCATGGTGTTCTGTGTTTTCTCCTAAATAAAAGCTCAAGGGTTTATTTCTTACAAGTGAAGAAATTAGGACAAAAGTATTGTAATTTTGATAGCGTAATATAGAATATAATGACAGACTCTATATCATAACTATAAAGATGTTTGAGCCCTCTTTAGGTAAGCAACAAGTCAATGCTTTTTCGTTGTTCAATGTGCACAGGCCTGGGTCGAATCCAGTTGAAGCTCTTAATTTTGAGCTCTCTCAATGTGCTCCAAATTGATGCATTTAACCTTAAAATGTACCAAATTTTCTTGCGGGGGAGCATGCCCCCGAACCCCCCTAGAGGGACAGGGGTAACATGCCCAAATTTAAATGACACATCCATCCCCCACACTTTTCAAAAGCTTGCCTCGCCTCTGTGCTTTAGTGTTGAATGTGCAACAAATATTATGTCTGTTTTAATGAAACTAGCAATTCAACATACCCATGCTGTTATCTTCAGATCTCATCTTATTTATTCCCATATTCATTGCTTTCATGTCAATCACAGAAATGGTATAGGCCCCTGGTTGAATTGGTTTGGTTTTGTCAAGTCAAAACTAATCTTGTAACCCTGAGTTTGTTTAACAACCACCATGGTACAGGCCCCAGGTGCAAACAAGGGATCAAACATTTGGTGACTGGATTTTTGCTGTTGACGCATTGATTTATGGGACCGTTGTCTTAACATAAACTTTTATTTATTTATATAGCACATATTTTTTTAGAAGAAGAGTGTATAAAAGTAATTAAAAAAAAGGTAGAGTCAAATATTTAAAAAATACCAAATAACAATTAACATGCCTAGCCTACACACAAATAGTCAATGGAACGATCGTACCTATACGCACACAGAAACAATTGCTCAAGATCCCCTTCATTTAAAAGCAAGGTTAAATAGATTTTCAACTGAGGCCTAAAAACCTATATCCCTGAAATAAGGTGGAATATAGAGTGGAAGACTGTTCCACAAATTAGGAACAACTACTGTCAAAGCTCATGTTGTAGTTATATCACCTTTGTAGGTGCTGTTGTCAACCCTAAACCTAATCTCAACCCTAACTCCTACCGTCACTTCAACATTCAATGTAACACCAGTCCTAAAAACTTGCTGGTCCGAAACGAAGACGGGGGATAGAGAAATGCTGACTGTCTAGAAATGTAATAACACAGGACTATTACTCTGTATGTCTAAATACATACAACCGTGCATGAAAGAGTGATCTGGCGTGCAATATTGCAAGTGAATTAGCAGTTTCAGTTTATCTCTCCAGCAAGAACAGAAGAAAGAACTGGCATTTAATACAAGTATACTGCCGACTAGAATCACCTCCGGCCGGTACTGTGAAAAGCAAAGAACGTGCCGCACTTAAAGCACTCTGTCAAAATCACACCTGCCCTCTTTATTCTTTCCTGCTCTCTTGTAACATCATATTTTAATCCTACCTACAATAATCATGCATTTTAATTATTAAAGTGACTTTTCTGGGAAGTTGCATTCAAAATCCACTTGCCTCACAAACCGGAAAGGCTTTTGCACAGTTTGAATAAGTAAAGTATGACCTTTCTGTCATAACACTTTTCCTTCTATTTTGATACAAACATGTGGAGGCAGTGAGCTCAGATTCTGCATCCTCTTTTTTCAGGTACTCATCTAATATCCTGTCAAATCTTGTTTGATTTAGGCTGTACCTATTTTAATATATGGGCATTCTTCAACTTTGCACACTTTGATGTTCCAGGCAGGTTTTTATTTTTATTTTTTTGTGAAGGTCACATTACAACTGTCTGAAATTTTAAGCATTCCTTCCTCATAACGATTTTCAAATGTCTTTATGTAGCTATTTTGTTTTAACTAGACTATGAAAAAATATACCATTTAAATATATAATGTGTGAAAATAATTTTTAATAAAAAATACTTACATAATGTCAAAATATGCAAACATTGTGAAAGTATTATTTTATTGTGTATATAGGAGTCAGACACATATAATTAGTCTTTTTAGTAATTAAAAAAAAAAGACATTAACCACAATATATCTGTTTTGGAAGTGACACTGCAGTGGAAATATTCATAACTGATACAAATAAAATATTTTTCTGTCATGTATGTATATACAATAAACTAGTGAAAGTGTGAATCAAGTGTTTATTTTCTAAAGGTCTACAGGACCAATATGTCCATAGTTGCAGTCAGAAACAACCATATGTGTATTAATCTACCAGTTAAGTGAGCTCTGGCAGCTGCCTGTCACCTTTGATTTTCTGAACTTAATCTGATGTCTGTGACTGCATGTCTGTGTGGAAGAAGCTCCCTAGAAATCTTTGGTAAAGGTTGCAGGCTGTATTTAGTAGCACGGCATGCTGAGCACTGAGCACACTCATGTGTAGCCGCGAGTTTCTGCTATAAAAGACTGAAAGTTAGAGAAGTTTGACAGTGATATTTCCCTCAAAGCTTTCCTCTGGAACAACAAAGCACAACCATCTCTATAGGCCGAGGAGATGAGCTGCTAACTAAAACAGCAAGATGTTGTCAACAAGCCATGAAGGTAAATATTTACGCATTTACACTGTAAATCCCTTGGGATTACATTAGAAATGATTCATGTTTATATTTGGCATTCTAAAATATGTATACAGATGGGCTGAATATAAAATTATACTATTGCATTACATGACAGCCAAACTCTCATATTTTAAAATAACATGACATACCTGTAACACAGCACTCTGGTCAAAGTTGTAGGCACTGGGTCGTCCTTCCAATGTGGAGAAGGCCACATTTCCGCCGGTAAGTGGAGAGATGTCACTAAACTCATCCGTGCAGAGGGCCGTCCTTTCCCTCTCGCCTGGACGTATGAAGCCCTTATTGTCCCTCTCATACGTCTTGCGACAAGAAGCACTGTAATACTGGTATGGCTGCCATGGTCCATTCTCCTCTGTACGCTTGTAGATGGTGAAGCTCTCTGGTCGGCTGGTGTAGAACTTCAAACGGACATATGTGATCTCAAAGGCCTTGCCTTGGAAAAACAACAACATTAATGGCATGTTAATCTGGACAGATCCCACAAAATTCAGTACCTTCTTTATGTAGCCTGATAATTAAAGCACAGTACATAATTAAAGTGACAAGTAAACCTGTAAATAATTAAAGTTAATGTAAGATTTGCATCTACACTGATTTTGTTTTGTTTTTTTTTACATCTAAATTAACTGTTTTTATCCATATTCAAATTGTTATTTAATGCAACCAAATTTATTTGAAAATAATAAGTTAGAAAGTAAAGTATATCAAGCCAAATCAAGAATTTGCAGGTGTTAGATCAAGCCAAAACAATATGAAAAAGGAACAAAAAAAAAAAAAAAAAGATAATGACACTTTATTCAATTTAGAGAGGAAGGCTTTCTTGTCTCTGTAGACAATAAGTGGAGTTTGTGCCTTGAGAAAATGGCATACTTGGTGGTACTACTTTGTCAGTTTAATTGCTACTCAAATCTTATTGTCCAAATGAACTGGAGAGTTCTTTAACCCTGGGTTGCTCCAGAGGGACTGTTCCTGCAGCCAGTGCACTGGAAGAGATAACTGACTGATAATATTAACACATTTAAACCTTTTTAAATTTAGTCAGATTACTGTTGTTCTGCCATATTTTGAGGTTTGCTACCATCTCCGTACAAGCCGCAGCTTCTTCTGCACAGCATACTACAACATGCACAATAAACAAAGTGTGAACCTTGTCGGCTTAAGTATACAGGGAAAGAGACAAGGACATTTTTTAAATGGAGGCTTCACTTTGCTGAACTGCTTTTATCATATCATTTGATGCATTGACAGCCTTGAGTTTAGCCTAAACTAAAAAAAAATAAACTAAAAAAATAAAATGCTGTTAATAAGAGAAGTCACAAACAATTGCGCAACAGGCATGGTTTATTTTATGCTACTTCTAATTATCTGTTTCGACCTCACTCTGACCGTAACTAAGGTCTAATAGGATGATTACCTTCATCATTTTGCCCTCTCTTGACACCTTAGGTGCGTTCCATTTGACAGGGTCCCTACGCAGTGTTCACTGCTCCCTACTCCCTGAACACGGTATATCAGTTGAAGTGAACTTCACTGACTTCCTGTGAAGTGATGTATCGATGTTCCCTTATTATGCCGTTTGCAGTGCCCTTCGAACTGAAAATGTTCGTTCCCTTCTGGAATCTCTCGAATGGAACGCACCTCTTATGTAAACAAAGTCATGAAGTGGAATGTCACGCGGACACGCGCTATCCAACTTTTTCTGCTCCAAACAATGCGCGCTGCCATGACGACGACTCTGGTTGTCAACTTCTGGTTCGAGTGTGGTCTATGCTTTTTTGCCATGTGTTTTAGATTGTGTTATACCCACATCGCTAAACTAAATCGAGAAAAAAAAAAAAAAAAACATTCATCAAATGTGATCTGTTCACGTTATTTTTTATTTAATCACAGATGAAAACAAAATGAACGTTTTTCTTTGCTTCATAACTTCCAAAGGATAGCTGATGCCTGACTGCACGATCTCCCTAATCCAACAAACATTCGACACTATCACTCCGACTTCTGCAGAATAACAGTACTATATGGTTAGGCTGGTTAGCCCTTTGACTCCTGCTGTCTACCCCTCAAAGATGCATAGCCTAGTTTCTCAGGCCTGTGAGGTTAATTAGGCTTAACGCCGAGTTTCATTCATGAGACCAAAGTCCAGTTTGTGCGCTGTCGCCTCTGTCATGATTATCTACTGTTTACTATACTTATTATTTATTAAAACCAGGCAATTGGTTGATGAAACATTGATTGAATTAAGATACAATTAGTGAAAAACGAAACTCACTGTAAAGAAAGGTTTCTTTGTGTTTTTTTCTTTCAGAATGGTCATGTCCGTGAATATAAAACGCATGTGTAGACTGATATTTTTCTATGTCTGGACATCTGATCTATTTAATTTATAATTCTAGATGAATGGTCTGGACTAGAGTGCTAATATTCTATGTAAACAAATTCAACAGGAAGTAGAAAACCGTCAAGTCAGTTGAACCCGCTATGAATCATGGGAAGTAGAAGGGGCGCAGAAAAAGATGGATAAAAAGGCGGGTTAAACTTCCGGCTCGTTCTCTTTACCTTTCTCACCTTAGAGACCTGGTACAGGTAGGAACTGAGTTATAATTGTTATTCACTATTCAATTCATCACCCAAGTGGTGCCTTGTGAATTGTGGTGTTTTATTTTTGTATTATCTGTACCAATCACATAAATTCATGCTGTATGCTTGAATTGTGATAAATTATTATTTTGATATTTGAGTTACATAACCATTCAATATTTCAATTCAAACACTCATTTCATGCTATAGGCTGCTAGGTGCTTGTGAATTGAGATTAGTTTTACTGTAGGCTATTATTCAGCGTCTAGTTCCTAAATACTAGCCATTCAACATTTCAGTCAATTCATGCTGGGCTTGTGAATTGACATGAGTTTATTATCTGATATTCTGGTGCTAGTTTCTAAACATACTAGTGTAAGACTGTAAAAACTGGTTGAAGAGACCTCACAACTGGTCTATGAGACGAAGGACCTTGCTGAAAATTAACATTTGAACATCTCACACACACACTTCTTCCCTTCACCCCCCATTCTGGCAGAGATCACCCAAACTTACACAATAATTTATATGGTTTTAATTTGAACAACTATCACACAGTTTTATTCACATGTTTCGTATTATCTGAAATGTCGACTGGTGCGACTGGTACAAGTGTCCTTTTTCCAAATAAGTAAAACAGAAGGTAATAAGGTTTTAAAGAGTTTAGGGATAACTGGCACACAAAGGAATGTGGTCTCAGGCCATGGTCCTACTTCCAAAAGGTGTAAATTCCTGAATGCAAATTACCACTGATAGCAAATGATCATCCAAACCTTTTCATTTAGGAGTCATATGAAATAAAGAGTTAATAACATCTTCCAAATAATTTTCTGGTAGCCTACTCGACGAAAAGCTGTAAAATAAAGCCTAAAAATTTGTTGTCATTGTTGTATTGGCTTTGTTGAAACAAACCAGCAACACGTGAAGAGAATCAGAAAACAGCAGAAAGAAAAATCTAAGTTTGTAAACGATCGGAAAAAACGTGATTTTATAAATAAACAGGCTGCTAGATGCATTGTTTATGAAAAGCTAAATTTGGAAAAACAGGATGAGATTTACAGGCTGAAAGCATATCTTAAGGTAAACTAAATGCTATTGTCCATGCTGCTTCAAAAATGCTCAACCCTCTGTGTCACCGACCACCGGTGGGCCCAAAGCCATATTGAAAACATTAATATCTCTACATTGCATTTGAAAGCTTACACTTTAACACCAATGGGATTAAAAAGCGTGAAATGATTCTGTTAATTTTCAAATTTGGAATTCTTAACATATTGTGCTAATGGAACACATTTTAGTTGTTTGTACTACCATGTGTACATAGGCTAACAGTTAAGCTTTTTCTTTAAACACAGGATTGCTTTACTGTAAGTATTTCTGTATCACTTAAAGGCTGTAGATGCCATGAATTCTAGGCCATCTTGTGTAAACTGAATTAAGCATGTGTTTCTATGCATCTTGTTGTATCCTTAGTGGATAACTCCCATAGCTGCAGTAAAACACTGCAAAGGAACACAGAATTGCCATTGGCTACAATGTGATTCACAGTGAATTTGAGAATGAGAAACAGTGAACATGTATCTCATTAATCTTCATATAAAGACCTTTTCATATTCAAAGCTTCAGAGAACAAAATTTCCCCAAATATAAATTGGAACATGTACTGTATAATGATCCTGTCCTGTTTACATTAAGAGACAAAAAGGTTGCCTACACTGGACAAACTCAGTAAAAAAATGGTTTAACATGGACACTATATTGACAATTAAATTTTCACTAGGTGGAGTGGGTAGTAAGTAGAAGAAATCAAAACATGATGAAATAATTAAGGCTTTAAACGTCATAAGTTATAAACGACTAGATAAGTCAACAACATTTCTAACTTCGCTTATAAGTAGTGCATTCTAAAAATGCAGAGGCACAAATGTCTGAGGCAAGATCTTCAAATACAGCTAGATAAATTACTAGCTAAGCATTTAGCCCTGACTGAAAATTGTAAAAATCACAAATACACTATTGCAGATCTTAAGGCTAAACTAAATGTGATGCGATCTGGGAAAACCTGTCGGATGTCGCGCTGGTACGTTTTCAGTAAGGTCTAAATATAGATCCAAACACTTTGTTCCTCACAGTCCAAACACTAAGCCGCCTTTTCAGCAGAGTCGAGGTCGACCTCTTTGCGTCAGAAGACAGCGCTCACTGTCCAATCTTCTTTTCAAAGAACAAGGACGTGCTGGCCCAAACCCGACCCAGCCGCCCATTGTATGCTTTCCCTCCGATTTTACTGTTTCCACAGGTAATCAAGAGAATCAGGGAAACGTGCCACTCGGTGCTCCTTATAGCCCCGCATTAGGAGAATACATTTTGGTTCCCGCAGCTGACGCGGCTGTCACTATTAGCCCCGTGGCCTATTCCGGTGAGGGGGACATGTGGGGAATTTACATATGCTTTCTGTCAGTGCTGTGTGTCTTGGGTTTGGGACAAATGACTCTAAAGTCATCCTCAAACCAAGGCTATGGCTATGTCCCGAAAGTGACTGGCATTCAGAGCGCAGGTCATTTCGCTATCGGCTCTCCCAGCATCAGATAGAGAGAGCGATACTAACCTCCTCTGCCCTTTCACAGCTTTTTGTTTCGTTTGGTGGGTGCACCAAAGGTCTCGCCGCCTCGAAAGAGCCTGTCAAGAGAGGACGCTATTGCTTTTGGGCTTTTGCCTTTGGGCATCAGGGCTCATTCCACTAGAGGCTTGACCGCATGGTGGGCATGGTCCAGCGGAATTTCTAGTTATGATATTTGTATGGTGGCAGGCTAGGCCTCTGCATCTACATTTGTGAGGTTTTATTACCTGGAATTT